AGGACTTCTGAAGAAGTTAATTAGCTGGACCACCTTATACAGTGCTGTCTGGCTGGCCTTCTAATCATTAGACTCAAGTAAAACCCACAGCAATAGCCACTGAAATTAATAACTTATGGCCTGTTTATTTGAAATGTTTTTTCTTAAAGTTAACGTTGTGCGTTGCAAAAAAAGTGATGCCTTTAATTTACATGATTCAAATACATCATTTCCCCATGAATGACTAAATTATGTTACAATGTCAACACACTTTTTTTGCCTTTCAGTTTTCTTCCGACAAAAGCTGTACTGATGTAAGAATTTATTCATTGGAAATCACGGACAGATTAAGTTACGTACAAAGTAAAAACAATGCATCACTTCTTGTTGTTTTAATGCAGTAACATTATTTTGTCTCATTTTTTTCCTAGCAGGGTGCCACCCTAGTAAAACCTCTGGGTCTTACCTGGCCACTCCATTCTAAAAGGTCTCCTGCTTTCAAGGTGGCTCCTGCTAGCGTTTCTAGCTAAGCGACATACTTAAGTCCATGTTTTATAGATAACAGTGTGTTTTACAGTGTCAGAAACCACAATCATAATCAAGTCTAAATGAGATACTGAACAACTCCAGATTGTTTGAGACGAGTGTGTGCTGATTTAGGTAAGGATTAGCCACAATGTTCAATTAGCCTGTTAGCTACATTAGCCTGCTTAGCTCCAGTGCAAAACTAGGGATGCAAACATTTCAAACCAAACAAGCTATTTTGTTTATCAACTGTATATGGAGTAAAGAAACTGAGTAAATTTTGACTGAGTTATCTTACAGTTTATGTAGCAGAATATGTGTTATACTGGAAAGCAGTGAGATTAAAGGGGAAGTCCACTCATTTTTAAATTTTTTATATAACTCAGTTCTTGAGAGCAAAGCCATTCGGAGTGGTTTGGTGTGAAGTGGTTCATTGTAGAGAAACGTACAGACTCATATTTCTTTACAGTGGTGGTGATAAGAACCAGGAGTGTCTACAACACAAACCCATCCATTTTATTTACTTACCAAAACAACCAGTAAATCTATACGGGTTCTATATGTGATGTTTATAATGGTAAAATAGTGTGAAGCTTAGATAAAAAGACTTTTAAGGTCTTCTTTTTTGCCTTACAACACTCATACTTATTTTCTTGCAATTCGTTGTTATGACTCAATCCAGGAAAGTCGTTTGTAACTCAAGTGTCCTTATTTTCGTAATTAGAGCAAACACAAAAAGGCAGGTAATGAGAGAGTACAGGGTGGAGTCTTCCAGAATTCCTAGTGAGTTAGTTGATCTCTACAGAGCCCTGATGATGACATCCTGTATAAATAAAAATAATGTGTGCCCACGCCTTATTAACACATGGGAACGAGATCCTAGTGCGTGGTCACGACTTAGTAAGGAGTGGGAATGAGATGATTAAGTCATGGCCATGACTTAGTAAGGCGAGGGAACGAGATCACGGCATACTAAGTTGTGGCCACGCATTAGGATCTCGTTCCTACCCTTTACTAAGTCGTGGCCACGACTTAATTATCTTGTTCCCACTCCTTACTAAGTCGTGGCCACGCATTATTTTTATTTATACAGGATGTCACCAGCGTGGCTTCGTAGATTTCTGTTTCTTAGCTCTTATTTGTTCTTCAGATGTTGTTTTCAAACAAACAAGGTTCATATATTGGTTAAATATAAGTTTTTACAAGTTTTAGGTAATGAATGTTATGTTGTGTGTTTAATGTCTCTACACAGTCGCCAGTCTGGTTGTAACAAAACAACATAAACTGCTGCTAAATCTGTAGTTATAAGAGAATCTCTCTTTGAAAGCTCTTTTTGAACATTTTTATTTGTACATCTCAGCTTGTGATGTGAAAATGAATACATGAAACAATGTAAAGTTTAAATGTATTCAACTCCATGTATAATTTCAAACAACTCATCAAACAAATCAGAGTTCATCCATCCATCCATCATCTAAACCGCTTATCCTTCTGGGTCACGGTGACAAATCAGAGTTTTGAAACTTAATTCATTTGAGGCAACGAGTGAACTGAACTTGGTAAATGCCCCTAAAGAAACAGAAACAGCTCTCAGCTTCACACTTGTATGTGAAAGAGCATCAGGAACAGGACTGGCGGAAAACAGGAAAGACATTTCAGCAGCTCTGGCAAAAAGGGGAAAAAAAATATGAGCTGTCTTTTCTAGAGGATTCTACGGTAAAGTGGACCACTTTGCCCCCAAGTGGTGAAACCCTCTAATAACGTTTTAGCATCATAAGTGCTTACAGTGCACACACATGCTAACATTAAATATAAGATTTAACAAAAAAGGGCACTAAAATGCACTTATATTATAGAACAAACCTGTTCAGATGAGGCTCACACTTCATATGTGTTAGGTGATTATTCTAGAAATACTTAACCCTCATCCTCCTTCCTTTTTTCTTAAAGTTTTAAATTTCTGACAAATGTAGTGTTCATCAAGTGTTTCAGGTTGGATTTGCTAAGCTTCGCCACACCAAACGACAGCTAAACACAGTATGTTCAGAATAAGATCTTACAGTTCATCTGTGTGGCAAATCTTACTGTTTTTCAACTGTTCTGTAACGCTACAGTGATTTTTAACACTAACTTACCATAGCATAAAGCATCTTAAAGGGGAACTCCACAGATTTTTCTAAATTTCTGCATAATTAAATGGTTAACAAGTAAACAAAGTCATTCAGAGTAGTTTGGGGTGAAATGCTTCATTCTTACGAAACTTACCGAGTCAGAATTGTTCACAGTGGTGGTGATAGGAACCAGACGTCTGACCTCTGAAAGCTCCCTCACAGAAAGTTATTACATGAAATGCAGAAGACTTGTGATAAAGTTTTGGTCTAAAACATATTTTAATCAATTTATTTTAACCTTTTCATGGTGAAGGGATACATGAAGGGTGTTGTGGGGCAAAACAATTTTTTTTACTTTCCACTATTTTTGCCATCATCAGCATTACATATAAAAGCTCAGAAGACACACGTGGTTTTGGATAGCAAATAGAATGGCTATATTTGTGTTGTAGACATTGTGACTTTTGGTTCCTACCACTGTAAACAAAATCTAAGTTGGTCTGTTTCTCTTGCAAATGAACCATTTCACACCAAAACACTCTGCATTACTTTGTTTATATTTTAACCACTGAATTATACAGAAATTTTGAAAAGTTGGTGGAATTCTCCCTTTAAACTAACTCAGTGTTGTTAACTAACTTACGGAGGCCTCCTGGTGACATCCTGTATAAATCAAAATAATGCGTGGCCACAACTTAGTAAGGCGTGGGAAAAAGTTGATTAAGTCGTGCCCACAACTTAGTAAAGCATAGGAACGAGATCCTAATGTGTGGCCACGACTTAGTAAGCCGTGATCTCGTTCCCACGCCTTACTAAGTCATTCCCACGCCTTACTAAGTCGTGGCCACGCATTAGGATCTCGTTCCCGTGCGTTAATAAGGCGTGGCCATGCATTATTTTTATTTATACAGGATGTCACTAGCGGGGCTCCGTACTAACTTAACTCAACTGTAGTAGCTAGTTAGTAAGGAGCCCTGCTGGTGACATCCCGTATAAATAGAAATAATGCATGGCCATGCCGTATTAACATGTGGGAAGGAGATCCTAATGAGTGGCCACGACTTAGTAAGGCATGGGAACAAGATAATTAAGTCATAGCCATGACTTAGTAAGGCGTGGGAATAAGTTGATTAAGTCGTGGCCACGACTTAGTAAAGCGCAGGAACGAGATCCTAATGCGTGGCCACGACTTATTGAGCCGTGATCTCGTTCCCTCGCCTTACTAAGTCATGGCCACGACTTATTCATCTCATTCCCACGCCTTACTAAGTCGTGGCCACGCATTAGGATCTCGTTCCCATGCATTATTTTTATTCATACAGGATGTCACTAGCGGGGCTCCGTACTAACTCAACTCAACTGTAGTAGCTAGTTAGTAAGGAGCCCTGCTGGTGACATCCCGTATAAATAGAAAGAATGCATGGCCATGCCGTATTAACATGTGGGAACGAGATCCTAATGAGTGGCCACGACTTAGTAAGGCATGGGAACAAGATAATTAAGTCATAGCCATGACTTAGTAAGGTGTGGGAACAAGATCATGCCTTATTAAGCTGTGGTCATGGCTTATCTCGTTCCAAAGGCTTACTAAGTCATGGCCTTGACTTACATTATTTTGTTCCCATGCCTTACTAAGTCGTGGCCATGCATTATTTTAATCTATACGGGATGCCACCAGCAGGCCTCCGTAATTATCTCATTCCCACGCCTTACTAAATCGGGGCCACACATTAGGATCTCATTCTCACACCTTACTAAGTCATGGCCACAACTTAATTATCTCGTTCAGAAGCTTTACTAAGTCGGGGCCACGCATTATTTGTATTTATCAGGGATGTCACCAGCAGGGCTCCGTAAGTTAGCACTAAACCTACAAAACGTTTCTGTTCCTTCGTCTTAAACAAAGTTTCTGATTCTGCTTTCTATAACTCGCATAAGAAATGTGGTCAATGTCCAGCTGATGTAACTGCTCACGTTAGTGACCAACACTGTGACACACGAAAATTCAGGCTCTGCCCATCTCAACATAACGGTCTACATAACACTGTTCTTTACACATTTCTCAACAAACCGCCTCGTTTTTTCCAGATGACTGAGGTATTTCTATAATCGTCCACGGTTTGCCTGGTTTTGCCACTTTTTTAAAGAAAATCGTGTCTAAAAGTGTCTGAATTAGCCAATCTGCACTCAGTCACTCCCTCCATTTTCGTGGAGTTGCTCGCCGCGTGGACGCGCCTGGGGCCCTCCGAGGCGCGCTCCCGTGTCAACGTGGCGTTTCACAACCAATCACGTCAAGGATTTCAAATCGCGCCGCCCACCGCTGCGCTCTGATTGGTCCACTTTCGTGTCAATTCACGATTTGGGGTTCGACGCAGAGCGGTTTGAACCGCCTTCCCGCTACGTGCAATTTAAAGAGGCAGAGTGCCAACTCGACGCGAACCCTCACAGAAAAACCCACGAGTGCTGGAAGGTAGAGTCTCAGGAATCTTAGGAACTCAGGTATGGTATTTTTGCTCTTTTAAATACCTGGAAAACGTTTGCATGCCTTATGAATCCAGGCTGTGGGTCGTATTTGTTTAGCTTAGTTGTGCTCACTGAGTTTGGGATAAACTTTTCTTGCTGAGTGAAGGGGCGTCTACTGTAAAGCATCGCTGTGGGAGCCTTGGTGGCTTACAGGAATGCTTAGTTTGTTCATTTGCATGATTAAAACCAACATTTGATCAGTTTTAAATAATGCAAATGTGTATTTTGGTCTTTTTTTGGGGGGAACAAAATCATTTCTCATAATGTAACAGTTAATGTTCTGAATGTAAACCACCTTTTCACTGTGAATCAATTCTGTAAGCCTTATTATTAATATGACCATATTTGGACACTGTGTTGCCAAATCAGTATTAAATCAGTATTAGCGTTGCTAATCATTGGTGGATTTCTACTATGAGGACTTCCATGCCTACAGACTGAAAGGGGAATTCCACTAATCTTTCAAAATTCTGAATAATTACGGGCTTGAGATGCAAACAGAGTCGTTAAGATTGGTTTGGTGTGAAATCTTTCATTGTAGAGAAACTTACTGACTCAGATTTCTTTACAGTGGTGGTGATAGGAACCAGGGGTCTCTATGTCTACAGCACAAATGTAGCCATTTTATTTACTATCCCAAACCACCAGTGAACCAACACGTGTCTCCTGAGTTTTATATGTAATGTTGATGATGGTAAAATAGTGATAAATCTGAAATTAATACAGGATTACTTTTACTTACAATGTCCTGCCTGAAACCCTGACCAGGAATACATTTAAAAAAATATGTTTTAGGCTAAAACCTTATTGTAAAACCACCATAAAACAAAGTCTCAGCCTTCAGACAGTGTATTCATAACCATTTCATGTTATACACTTATTTGAGGTAGCTTTAATAGGCTTTAAACTCTTCAGACGTCTGGTTCCTATCACCACCACCAACAATTCTGAGTTTCTATATTTCTCTAGAATGGAGCATTTCACATCAAACCACTCTGAATGACTGTGTTTACATCTTATCTATTGCAAAATTGGTGTAATTCCCCTTTAATGTAAATCACCTGCTGACTGCTAATCAATTCAGTAAGCTGTATTTGCATGACCATATTTGGATACTGTGTTGCCAAATCAGTAATAAATCTGTATTACTGTTGCTAATCACTGGTGGATTCACATTATGAGGACTGCCAGGCTTACAGACTTAAGTGGTCAATGTTCACATAAAAGAGTGCCTGTTTAAATCCCACTTTTCCTCTTTCTCTTTCTAGAGAAAATGCAGCTGCTCTTGCTCTCCCTGATTGTGGGGGTCACGTTTGCCGTGCCTCCTCAGGAAAAGCGTGTGCATCATCAGCGTGACCTGAGTGACCACGTCCACGACGATGCCCACGGTTACCAGTATGATCACGAGGCCTTTCTAGGCAAAGAGGAAGCCAAGACATTCGACCAGCTGACCCCTGAGGAGAGCCAGGCCAGACTCGGGTACAGAAGCACACAATAGCTCAGAATGACTTCCATAACTCAGCTGTGACATTTTTCTTTCAGTCTCAAGCTCTGAGCTCGTTTTGTACCACTCTGTGGTGGAAATTCAGAACCAGAATCAGTTTTATTCTTTAAATAGCAAGGAATTTGTGTTTTTGTCTTGGTGCAGGCATCATAAAATCCTGTGAAAATACAGGAAAAAATATAAATACATAAAGTAATTTACAGTTACACTAGCATTCAATACTTCATCATTTGCAATTATAAAAATAGCTGTTACTTTATTATATTTTGACTTGTGGATTGAAATATTACAAGCTGTACACAGTATTTCAATATGTTGTAATCAATATTTCAAGTTTTTAGGGACACTAGAAAGTTATTAAATTCTAATTATATGCTGTATTAATTAATTAATAGTAATTTTATCACATTATCTGCCTTAGATTTGCTTATTATGCTTCGAATTCGAGGTATTCTAGATGTTAATTGTATTCTAACTTAATTCTTAATGCGCTACTGTTTTCTCTGTCATTAAAGAATCATCTATAGCTCTGGTCATCATTGTGGACACATCAGACATTTCACTGTTTTTTACAGTGTCAAGCTAATTAGTAAAAAATAACTGTGAAATTGTAGAGTAACAGCATCATATTACAATTATTATTATATTACAATTATTTCATACGTTTATCTGCAACATATATTTTATTTTATTGACAGTGACCCCAAACTTTCTAATTGTGATGCTAGTGTACATTACAATAATTATTGATGTTGTACACAGTTATATGGTATGCATATACATTGTATATGTATATATTGTATTATGTGGCACACACATGAAGGTGAATATGTAAGCAGTGGAAATATATAGTGGATATACTGGATATATACAGTTGTATATTTACACTAAATATATACTGTGAGTGTATACAGTCGTATGCAAAACCTTGGGCACCCCTACCCCATCTTACATACTGTGGCCTGTGCAAAAGTTATGGCACATTTCCAATATGTTACATTCAGCAAATGAATAGAAATTGTGTTAAAATTTACAGATCAATGCCATATTTAAGTTCCCTGTAGAAAATGTTCTAACTTATTTCCACCCAACAAAACATGTAGTATGATTCCAACTTTTGTGTATGACTGCATATATGTATATATGTATTTTCAGTATGTTAAAGTGCCTGTCTGTGCCCCATGTAGGAAGATAGTGGATCGCATCGACACAGATAAGGATGGTTTCGTTAGCCATGCAGAGCTGCACCACTGGATCAAACACAGGCAGAGGAGGTACGTTGAGGAGAACGTGGACAAGCACTGGAAAGAATATGACCAGAACAAGGACGGGAAGATCGCCTGGACGGAATACAAGAACACCACTTATGGCTACTACCTGGGTAATTAAAAGGAAGCAGTTCGCTTAAATGTGGCTCAGGACTTAATTACGTGTTATTGTTCCCAAATCTCTTGTCTTAAAAAAAGCCTGACCAAAGTATTATGTCTGTCCAGAACTAGAGGAAGTAACATATTTCCCCTTAGGACAGAAGTACAGTCAAAATTCAGACTTCAGCATGGCTGCTAACGGTAGAACTGTTTTAGCTATGCAACATACCTGGGCTATCCATGTTTATAGATTATCGTATGTCACAAGGTATGAAAAACCACACAAGCAAGTCTGCTTGAGATTTTTTAACAACTTGACGTGGGTTTGAGGCAAAGGTGTCGTTAGGTAAGCAGTTTGCAGAATGCTAATTGGTTATGCTAATGTGCTTTCATTAGTTGGCTACGTTAGCCTCGTGCTGTCAGTGCAGAACAAAATAAGCTTCAGCCACCAAATATATTTTGGCTGACTACATTTGGGGTAAATTTGCATACATTTTTTTTGTCAAACTATGACTTTAATCTCACTCTTTACACCAAAAATGTGTGCACATTTTGGGTGCCCTGGTCTCATTACATGTTTTGTTGATTTTCTAAAAAAAGAAAAAAAAAATACATTAACACATACTTTATAGAGAACACACCTCTGCACATTTTAATGCACAATTACGGTTAATTTGCTGAATTTAGCATGTTGGGAACAAATGTGAGGATGTCTTGTCATATTTTCACTTAGAAAATCAACAAAACATGTCATGAGACCGGGACACCCAAACATTTGGATCTGACTATATCCTAGCTAGTGGGGGATCTGCATGGTCGTGTAGTTTAGTTGAACATTTGGCATTGAACTGCAGAATTGCTGACTGTTAATGGCTGATGCAGCAGAGGATGTGCTATTCGTGCACACACCGGAAGTAAGATTGACCTCCCCACGTTGGTGGTGCTGTTGTATGACAGACAAGGGTCCTACTACACAGGGAAGTGACCATTAGTGAACTGAAGGAAAATAGGGAGAAATAAATTTAAAGGGCCAAACAACTCTCTCACCCATCATCTAAGCCACTTATCCTCCCGGGTCGCTGGGGTGCTGGAGCCCATCCCAGTGCTCAAAGGGCAGGAAACAGCCTGGACAGGCCACAAACAGAGAACACATACACATACGCACACACCTAGGGGCAGTTTAGTATCTCCAACTGGCCTGACTGCATGTCTATGGACTATGGGAGGAATCTGGACAATGCGAGGAAACCAGGGCCAAATCATCGAAAACTAAATTTTCTCCACTTTTTAAAAAATAAAATAGTTTAATGTGGAATATAAACATTTAGGTTTCAAAAGATATCTGCAGTTCATATAGTCCATATATTGAAACTAAGCTGCAAAACAGCATGTTTTTATTTCATTGTTTCTGTGATGTCACAAAAATCAACACATTTACATATTTCCGCCTATACAGCCCACATCTGTTTAGCCCCGCCCATTCATGTTTAAGTTATAAGGAGTGTTTCAGCCTGGGCTGCTTTTTGAGTAAGGCATAATGCTTTTTGAATGAGGCATAATTATTTTTGGTACATAAAACCACAAAAATGTCATATGTGGACTTCAGAGGAAAATCATAAAATGCAAGAATATTGTAGGAAATATTGCCCTGCAAAACAGAATGGGAATTCTGAATACCTATGACTTTTTCAGTTGTGCTTTGCTTATGTTACACTTGTTTTTGTCCTAGATGACGAGTTTAGTGACATAGAGGACAGGGAAAGCTACAAAGCCATGCTGACACGGGACGAGAGGCGGTTCAAGGCAGCAGATAAAGACGGGGATGGAATTGCCACAAAGGAAGAGTTCACTGCCTTTCTCCACCCTGAGGAGTTCAAATACATGCAGCACATTGTGGTGCAGGTGAGCTGAAAAGGGACCTTATTAAGAAAGACATGTTTGTACAGTTGAGGAGTGTGAAGTTGGAGCTGTTATGTGCTTCAGATCCAGAGAAATATTCACTCATGCTTCTTATTCTGCACTCGACAGGAAACAATAGAGGATATCGACAAGAACGGTGATGGCAAGATAAATCTGGAGGAGTACATCGGTAGGTTTGTGGCCGAGAAGGAAATTGGTATCTTTGATACTTTGGTCCATTTTTGCACAAAAATAGTGACATCACCACATAAAAGTCGCATGTGATAATTAAGTACACATTTAAGTTCAAGAAATTCAGTGATACCTTTACATAGTCACTGTTTTTCTGGTCTATAGGGGACATGTACACTCGCGAGAACGGAGTGGAGGAGCCAGACTGGGTTAGCACTGAAAAGAAGCACTTCTCAGAGTTCAGAGACGTTAACAAGGTTTGCATCTCAACTGTTTTATCGTTGTCTAGAAACAAGTAACCTGGAAAGAAACTATAGTGGAATGAACATGAACTTAGGGACCAGTTTATAAAAGCGATCCTGGTCTTACCTACTAGTTAGAGAGCATTCATTCAGTTATTAGAATCACACTCACTGGCCACAGAGGTGCACTTTGTAACATCTTGCAGTGAGTGTAGGTCTGAAGGCTTTATCACCATCATCATTTGTATTTATATACTGCCTTTGTAAAGTATAGCTGATAGAATTGGATGCTCTAATGAACCTATGGTCACCATGCCAATCGCCAGTTGGGCTGTGGATGTTCTCTGGAGTGATGGAGCTCCATCTAATACCTTTGGGATGAGTTGGAGCGATCCAGAACTGATCATCCAAGATTAGTACCTGACCTCACTAGTGCTCTTGTGGTATGCAATCAATTCTCACAGCAATGTTCCAACATCTAGTGTTAGGGCTTCCCAGAAGAGTAGGGGCTGTTACTGCAGCAAAGGGGGACAAATTCCCTATTAATACCCGTCATTTCAGAAGAAATGTTGGATGATCAGGTGTCTACAAACTTTTAGATGTATAGTGTAGATAAATGGCATCTTTCTGCCGTGTCTGCACCATTACTTAACTACTGTGGTGCAACGACTCTTTCTAATCATTTTAATCTTGTCTTTTTAGGATGGTTTCCTTGATGGCAACGAAGTTGCCCAGTGGGTACTGCCAGGAGATGTTGATCACGCTGATAATGAGGCCAAACACCTTATTCACGAGACAGATACAAATAACGTAAGTAAATGCTGGTAAAAGCTCTTAATGACTTTGTTTTTCAAACATCCATGTAATTCAAGCATGTCATAATGTAATTCACTTATGCATGTTGTAATTAAACATTATTTATTGTTGGCATTTTAATTATCAATCAATTGAATCACTCTTTCTCTTTCCCTGCCCCCTTTCCCCTTCTCAACGAATCCCAATGGAACTTCAATTCAATTTAATCAGGATGATAAAATCACTAAGCAGGAGATTCTGGCTAACTGGAACATGTTTGTCGGGAGCCAGGCCACCAATTACGGAGAAGACCTCACCAGGAAACACGATGAGCTTTGATGCTCTCATGCTAAAGGGAAACACCAGTGGGTTCTCATATAGGTCAAGGGTTTTTAGGAAGTGGGAGGGTTAAAGTTACATGTAATAAGCAAATGACTGTTACTTTTTTACATTCATAGATGGGTGGATTTAGTCCAGGGTAGGGTTAAACGTCAGGGGTCAAGACCTAATGTTAGGAATCGGGAGTGTTGTTGAGGTGAGTTGGGACTGGGAGGGTACTTCAGTCTAAAGGGAAATTCCAACAACTTTTCAAAATTCATAATTAAATTGTTGAGGTGTAAACAGTCGTTCAGAGTGGTTTGATATGAAACGGTTCATTGTGTTTCTTTACAGTGGTACTGATCGGAACCAGGGGTCGCAATGTCTACAACACAAATATAGCCATTTTTTTATTTACTATCCGAAACCACCAGTTAACCTACACGTGTCTTCTTCTTACATGTGTTTTAATATGTAATGTTGACGATGATAAAATAGTGATAAATCTGAAAACAAAGTTTTCCCTCAGGCTGTACCTCCACACCATAAATGTATTAAATAAAATTAGGCCAAAACCTTTTTAAAACTATCATAAAACTATGTCTCAGGGATGAGGAAATATATGTGTAACAAGCCATAACTTTCTATGAGGTAGCTTTTAGAAACATTAAACATTAAAGACGTCTGGTTCCATCAGCACCACTGTGAACAATTCTTATTTCGTAAGTTTTTCTACAAGAAATCTTCTCACATCAAACCACTCTGCACTTTGCTTACATCTTTATGATTTAATTAAAAACTGCAAAAACGTTAAAAATCAATGGAATTCCCCTTTAACTGAAATCAGACCGTATTTATTAAGGCAATCACATTTCGTCCATTAACAGAAATGTTTACAGCATGTTTACACGCACACTGTGGTTGATAAAGATTTATACCTGTTTTCCTTAGATAAGCAGTATTCCCAAAAGGCTGATGTTGCCAAGTAGAAATAAAAGGCATTAGTATTTTATAAAACTATCTTTACAATTTTACCATTACATTTTTCATCCTTATGTAGGATCTGAAAAACATAATTTTGGGTAGTTTTAACTGTAGATCTGTACAAGATCTGTGCATGTGGCAGTGGTACAGCGCTGATCTAGGATCAGTCTGTGGCTTTAAAGGCCCATTTAATACAATTCAGGCTTGTCATTACGCGTATATAATAAACACATTTGGTCTATTCTTAGATGTATAAGACAACAGATACAAAAACTGTAATGCTTCAGATTCACATGCAGTGTCACAATGGCTAAATAAAAAAGCACAAAAGCCTTATAGTAAGCTTTGCAGTGTGTATGGTCATCCTTAAAGGGCCCATATCATGGAAGACCAGTTTGATGTACGTAAAGCTTAAAAACAAACCGTTCACTCTCCAGTCCGTACAGCTCATATATGACAACTAGGCTGTAAAAACAGCTTGTTTTGAATTCTTCATTTTTGTGATGTCATAAAAACAGCCTACAGCAGTTTGGATCCACTCATTCACATTATAAGGTGTGCTTCAGCTTTGGACTGCATGTTGAATGAGGAAAGCCAATCAGAACAGAGCTCATTTACATATATCTGTCTTAAACAGCCTATTTATTTCCATTTTTGCCAAGTAAAACCACACAAAATTTGTAAAGTTGAAAAATACACATGAAAATTGAAAGATATGGGCCCTTTAAAGTACTAGTTGTTTGGAGCGGGCGGTAATAGCACAGAATTGAATTACTGTAGATCACTCAGATGATTTATTCACACAGGCCCAGAATATGGCTGAGCCATGGAGTCTGATTCCAGGTCTAAGTGTAATTCTGATTGCTGTGCAAGTTGCTTCAGGAGTGCTTTATCCCTCCATGGTCTTGCTGCAGCACAGTGAGGAGGAAAAAGAGCAGACACAGCTCTGTGACAACTCCTCTGCATAAATCCAGGCTAAAATATGTCTAAATGTTAGCTTTCAGCCCTGCTTAGCAACATTAGCAATGTAGCTCCAGTGCCAAGTTAGAGAAACAAAGTATAAACATGTCAACCACACTTCAGATAAGTGGAAAGTCTTGGTCATTCTGTTCTTTCAACACTCCACTACAGTCCTGTTGTGCGGTAGCCTAATGCATGTTTATAGGTTTATTGATGCACAAGAGTTGAGCACTGAAGAAAAGGCCAGCTGCACAAACAGTGCCTGAACAGGCTGTTACAAACACAGCTCAGCTGTCTGGACGACACCTGTGGCTACCACTCGCAGGAAAGAGTTAGAAGGGAAGAGATGGGGAAGGCATAGAGAATGAAAATAAGGGATTAAGTACATGGGAGGAGAGAAACAGTGACTGTTTGCTGGCAACACATTTCTCTGTGAATTCAAAATAAAGGCCTTTTTTTTTATTCTTGACTGATTTTTTCACTTTAATCAGTGAAATCAATATGACTTGTTTACTAAAAACACCATATGCAGCACACTGCAAAACATAATATCTAAACAAGTGAAAACCTATTAAATGTAGTCAACAAATCTAATGTTTCTCATTATGAGACTGTTGTAAGAATATTATATAGTAATTCCACCTGTACATTTTTACTTGTTTTAAAGTGATTTTATCTTGTTAAAGTTTCTTATTTGATTGGCTGATTGTTTTACTTGTTTTGAGAAATAACGTCGATAATTTTGCTATACACTAAAAACAAGTAACATGATCTGCCAATGGAACAAGACACTTTTATAATATAAAACTGCTTAAAACCAGTAAAAATGTCTATAAATATGTTCAATAATCTCACAATATTCTTACAACAGTCTCATAATGAGAAATATTAGATATATTGACTATATTTAAGATGTTCACACTTGCCAAGATATAATTTTTTTGCAGTGTACTGTGCACGAGTCAGAAACCCCCCTGATTTAATTTCCCGTCAAAATGGAAATGGCCATTAAGTTATTAAGTTATAAAGTTATTGATTTTCCAGTAGCAGTAAACGTTGCGTCCAGTTTTAACTTTCATAATAGCGTTCTTTTCGGGAGTCTTGCGTTTTTTTAAAGAAATCTGAAGGGATATTTTTCCACGCCTCTAAAGTTCAGTCTTAGAAGTTGGTTACACTTTCTGCTTTTCGAAATGTAATGTAAAGTAATTTAAAGTAATCTAAGTAATCTAAAACACATCAAATAATGTTGAGGTCTGGACTCTGGAATGGTCAGCCCTTTGTTCTGAGAACACCAGCAGCTTCTTTGATTTATATGCATATTTTAGACCCATAGTGCTGAGTTGTCTTCTCACAGTGGAAGGATGGACAGAAACACCTGTGGATGTTTTCTCCTCTCTTTCAAGGATGAAAGCTTTAAGTGCTGTTTATCTGATGGCGACAGGTGTTACATACCCAGTCAGGGGTTAGAACTTTTGTTGTTTTTGTAACACCAATGACTCAATAAATACACTTTATGCTTTTAGTACCATTTGCCTCAACCCAGCAGATTAAAAAGCACATCTAATTCACATTCTGTTTGTTGCAACATAAAACATTGGGCCTCATTCACCAATTTCTTCTTTTTACTTAAATGTGTTCTTAAGAAAGGTCCAAAGAAAAAGTCTACGTCTGATTCATGACGTGTTATTAAACCGCAGAATTGTTCACACCTTTGTGTTCGTGTGTGTGTGCAGATTCTGTTCTTACCTAAGAACAAATCCCAAATAAGAAAACACTGGTGAATGTCAGAGTCTTTGTAAAAACTGCACACATGGGTTTTAAGAAGAAATTTCTTCTTAAGAACAGTTGAGAATGAGACCCACTAATTGTGACCGCCACACAATCCCATCCGGCCTGCAAAAGTATTTTACTTTTCAATTACTATCAGCCCATTTCGGCATGCACTGCAACGTAATGTGCTTTGACCCCAAGAACAGTCTATGGGACAGAGGTTACACCTCATGCTACATAATTCTGCGCAATTCTACACCCGTCATGTCACTAAAGTGCATTTCAGCTGCAGTTCAACCAACAAACACTTAACCTTAGCTCAGCAGCTCAGAAACTGAGCCCAAGTCTTGGGGGTAGTTTTAAAAGACTGAGCTCCTGGGGAAATTTGAATTTTTAATATTTCAAGTGTCCATGTAATATTTCAAGATCTACTACATGTGCCTATATTTTACTGTTGAAGTTTTTGCATATATTGAATAAACAATGGCCAGTTTGGGTTACAGCACAACATTAATTAAAAAATGAAATAAAAATATTTATTTCTCTGGCCCACGGACTTGATGAGATTTTTTAATATGGCCCTTTTACTCGTTAAGTTTGACACCCCTGGCTTTAGCCATTAGACAATTATGGAATAACATACATGCAACATGCCTACTAACAATATGCACCTATATGGAAGGTGTTTCTGATAAAATGGCCATTGAGTGTAGGTACAAGGCTGGTGTAGCTAATAAACTGGCAACTCTGGGTACATCAGGAAATTTATTTTATTTATTCTTTTACCCTGGACACCTTCGCTTTGGTAAAGATTTTTCTTCAGGTATCTGATATTTTATAATGCCTTTTCTATTTTACCTATTTTATTTATAAGACCCTCTTCTATTGTACCTCTAATTTTGATGTGAATGGACTCCTCTGCACTACTTTCTCTGTTTTCTTTCTTCTGCACCTGCCAAACTATCTCCCCTCTGTCCCTGCTCTCATTCTCAGGATGGCCGTCTCTCCAAAAGTGAGATCATGGACAAACTGGAAGAGATTAAGATCAGCACTATCACAGATTATGGGAACCTGTTACTGAGAGGTCATGATGAACTCTGACACCATGACACATGAGAGCTAGATCTTGTTGTTAAGTGGATGAAAAAAGTAGTCAAATGACAGTTTCTGGATGGAAGTTTGTACATTAAAAGTTTTATTTTACAAAAAATAGATGATGCGGCCCCTCTTTGCGTTCCATTTTACCAAAACCAAAAAAGAAAAAAATATCTACGTGTATATATGCATATATGCTGTGGAGATTCTAATATTTCTTTTTTCAGTATGTGTGTTATGCAAAAAAAAACAAAACAACAAGACTATGGACAACAATGACTATAGTCACTATTTACCACAAGAAAGTAAACGCATGGTCAAATAATACTACATACAGCTTTAAAACTCCAATCCGCTCTGTACCGCTGAACACTCAGGCCTGCATGACGGGTCTGGCCTCCTTTGCACAAAGATCCACTCCAGAGGCAGCAAAGCCAGTCCCACCCTGACAGGGACATCAGACAGAGAGAAAGACAGATGGAGAGAAAAGAAAGAGGGGTAACAGAGAGAGAACGAGTGAGAGAAAAGTGGGTGGTGGGAGAGTGCTGCAAGTCTTACAATTCTCATCACAGATTCTTCGTACAATGAAATGAGGTAGGGCTTTTATGATTACTCAACTAAACTTTGTAAAAAATATACAAGAGAAAAAAAAAGAATGTCCATTAATCCGTCTGTGGTCTGAAGAGCAGCAATTTCTAAGGAGGAGCAATTAATCACAGGTGATATGATCTCCTTGTCTTATAGCATATTTTGTATGAGAACCTGAAGCCATTTACTGTGATAAATGTGCAAAAATAGAGGACATCAGGAGGGGTCAGACACTTTTTTTGCAGCCCTGAAACCATTAGAAAGAGTTTTTAGTTGAGCTGTGGACAAAGCGGGGATAGTCAGCAGTGTAGCAGGCTGGGCGTGTTGGGTGGAGGGAGGTCAATCAAGGGTGCTTAGTAGAATATTAGGCCACACCCAGATAGATGACAAATAGATCTGATGAGTTTTATATATGAATATGAATATATATATATATATATATATATATATATATATATATATATATATATATATATATATATATATATATATATATGTTCATTCTAGCTTGTTTTTGTTGGTCAAACTATGCTAGATGTTTAATATTAAACAATTTTAGGATCTCACAAACTTTTAAAAAAAATATTTTACACTGTGTAATACAAACTCACTCAGTCAGAGGTATTAATGTAAAAGTACAAGGTTTTGTATTGTATTAAACTGTATCACAGTGAATCATATCAATGTTTTATGTCTAGCATGTTAAATTGAGAAACTACAAAGCATAACTTTTGTTTCAAATATTGTGCTTTTTTTAATGCTGTATGCTCTAATAAGCTAAAATTGCAAAAGGTAACACATTAAGCCACTCCTTTTGCTGTACTGAAAAAAAATTAATTAAGATATCGTATTGAACCAAATTTTGAATTTTAAAAATTGTGATGCCCCTAGACAGTTTAAAGAAATCTCCATTACCACCTACTGTATTATGACTGCCACGTGATCCATACAGACACAAACAAACTCACCCTCTGTAGGACTATAATATCTTTCTCTTTCAGTTTGTCTCCTGATACCGGGTCAATCATGTCCTTGCGTATTAGCTTCTCCACACACTCCAAAGTGACCACACATCCACTGAGAGAGAGAGAGAGAGAGAGAGAGAGAGAGAGAGAGAGAGAGAGAGAGAGAGAGAGTCTCTAAGACTGAAAAACTAGAACTGTTCATCACTAAAGTGAGAAATACAAATGATAACTTCAAACACTTACGAGGGTCTGAGCACTGCACAGGGCACCGAGTTACCCAGCGTGTCTTTAGTTACTGCACACACATATCTGTCCTGAAAGACAAACAGGATTTACACTTCATAAGCAGATAATTACGCTTAAAAAGAGGTTTCACAATTCAGATTTAAAAAATATTTTTTTTCGGAACAGTTAAAGTTAATATTTATGCATCAAAATATGTGATCAACAGTTTTTTAAGTGGAACAATAGCGATAACAGTTTTGTGCTTTTCTGTGCAAAAGATTAAAGACAAAGCAACTTGAGTATTGAATAATAATGAACTTAGTATTTAGTCGGGATGCACAGAAAGGAAAATTCTTGGCCGAAACCAAAAACACAAAAACTGAAACCAAACAAATCTCTCAATAAATAAAAAGCAGTTCATATAAAATTTATTAAAATTATTAGTGTGTCAGCCACAGTATGTGACATCTAATGTCCTCAAATGCTGTGCATTTAGGACTGATATATGTGAATGAGCTCTGTTAACTTCACTTACAAAGCAGTCTGAGCTGAAACACTCCTTACAACGTCAGTGTGAATGGGCGGGGCTAATAGGTGTTATATACATACATATATACATATATGTGCTTGATTTCACATCATCACAAACAGTGAATTCAAAATAAGCTGCTTTTGTAGTATAGTTTCCATATATAATCTGTATGGACTGGGAAGTGAATGGTATGCTCCCAAACTTTACCACATTCTACATCAAATTTTAAGCAATTTTTAAGACATTTTTTACAATATTTCATGAGTTTTATATTCTAACACAGTTTA